GTCAGCATCTCAGATGTTGTTGTTGTTAAGTGCCGTTGAGTCAGTTCTGACCCATAGCGACCCTGTACAGGGTTTCCGAGGGTGTAAATCTTTACGGGAGTAGAAAACCTCATCTTTCTCCCGCGGAGCGGCTGGTAGTTTCAAACCGCTGACCTTAAGGTTCACAGACCGATTCGTAACCAGATGGAGGGGTTTTATTCAGATCTGTGGCTAAAACTAAGCATTAAATAAAAGTTCTCTGAAAAGGATCATTGAGATTCCAAATTACTTCAAGTATATTTAACTTATAGTAATTTTGAACCTGAACCCCCAAACCAATGCCCTGGTCGGAGGGAATGCAGGAGCTAAAAAGCAGGAACTGTTGACAAATCTATCGAAACAAACTAATTTCTATTTCTGAAAGATTAGTTACTTATGTGCTAGGGGGAAAAGTAACCCATGAAGTCAAACATGTTCTATTGTTGTTGTTAAGTGCCATCAAGTCAGTTCCGACTCATAGCGACCCTGTATAGGGTTTCCAAGGAGCTACTGGTGAACTTGAACTGCAGACCTTTAGGTTCAAACTGACCTTGCAGTCCAGCACATTAACTCACAGTGCCACACTAGGACTCCAGGAGTCCATTGGTGGTGGTGGTAGTGGTGTGCCGTGGAGTCAGTTCAGACTCATAGCGACCCTGAATAGTGTTTCTGAGGCTGGAAATATGGGAGCAAAAAGCCTCATCTTTCTCCCACGGAACAGCTAGTAGTTTCGAACTGCTGACCTTGAGGCTAGCAGCCCAACTCATAACCACTATGCTACCAGAGCTCCTTAGGAGTCCATTAGATAGATGCATATGTATTATGGCAGTGGTGATGGTGTACTATGGCATCATTTCTGACTCATAGCAATCCTGAATAGGGTTTCTGAGGTTGTACATCTTTTGTTGTTGTTGTTATGTGCCATCGAGTCGGTTCCGACCCATAGCAACCCTGTAAATCTTTACGCGGGCAGAAAGTCTCACCTTTCTCCTGTGGAATGGCTGGTAGTTTCGAAATGATGACCTTGCGGCTAGCAGCCCAACTCATAACTACTATGCTACCAGAGCACCTTAGGAGTTCACTGTTGTTGTTAAGTCGGTTCCGACCCATAGCGACCCTGTATAGGGTTTCCGAGGAGCAGCTAGTGAGTTTGAAGCACTGACCTTGCAGTTCAAATGGCTTTGCAGTCTGACGCATTAACCCACAGCGCCACACCAGGACTTTATTGTTGTTGTTAGGTGCCATCGAGTCGGTACCGATCCATAGCGACCTTATGCACAGTAGAACGAAACACTGCCTGATCCTAGGCCAACCTCACTACTGTTGCCCCACTTGAGTCCATCAGTGCTGCCACTTGGCCAATCCATCTCATTGGGGGTCTTCCTCTTTTTCTCTGACCTTCCACCTTACCAAGCATGATATCCCTCTCCAGTGATTGCTCCCTCCTGATAATATGTCCAAATAGATACCCATTTATTAAGTCTTCAGCAGGACAAAGACAAAACAAAATAAACATAAATATCTGGATGAGGGAAATTCATCAGAATGAGGCTATGGAGTCCATTGACTCACAGGCATGGAGTGATTATATGACAAAGAACAAAGGGAATCATCACAAGATCATGATTGGTGGAAGGTACAATCCATAACCGTCACAGGCAGGACTGCAGAAGCTGAGAGAGGGCCATGATTGGGATTAAGTCCACAATTAAAGATTCAAAAGGGTTGCAGGATTGGTTCTGGGGCTTTGCTAACTCGGCTACGCGGTGGTCAGGGTATGATTCGTGACCATACAACACTGAGTCATACCACAGGATATACAAGACAATACCAGGGTTCCTAGCCTTGAATTTAAATTAGATAATGCACAACAGGTTTCTGAATGGCTTGTTTTAGTAAATGCCCAGGCAAGTTCCCTAGTTCTTTGTGTGAGCATCTTTCTGCATACCAGTTGTTGTTGTTGTTAAGTGCCACTGAGCCGGTTCTGACTCAGAGGCCCCTGTATAGGGTTTCTGAGGCTTTAAATCTTCGCGGGAGCAGAAAGTCTTATCTTTCTCCCACAGAGCAGCTGGTGGATTTGAACTGCTGACCTTGCAGTTAGCAGCCCAAAGGGTAATCCACTATGCTACCATAGTCACATTAGTAAGAAAGGACTTACATATATAAAGGAAGGAGCCCTGGTAACGTAGTGGATTATGAGCTGGGCTGCTAACCACAAGGTCAGGAATTCAAATCTACCGGTCGCCCCGAGGGAAAAAGAGAAGGTTTTCTGCTCTTAGAAAGACTTATAGCATTGGAAGCCCTATACAGAGTCGCTATGAGTAAGAACCAACTCAGCGGCACACCACCACCAATATATAAAGAGAAAGAAAGAGAAAGCAAATATGGCAAGATGTTAACATTTTGGAAACTTAGGTGAGTGGCCAAAATATTTATTGTTGTTGTTAAGTGCTGTCCAGTCATTTCCAACCCGTAGCAACCCTGTATAGGGTTTCCAAGGAGCAGCTGGTGAGCTTGAACCACCGACCTTGTGGTTCAAATGACTTTGCAGTCCGGTGCATTAGCCCACAGCACTACACCAAGGACTCCAAATATTCACTGTACTATTTTTGTAATTTTGACCTGTAGGTTTTCAAAATAAAGTTTTTTAAAAAAAGCATGCTCTAGACCACTGTGGTTTCCAAACCATTTTAACCACAACTCACAATACATAGCTGTCTAATTTGAACAAATGCATATAAATGAAACGTTTCACCAAACAATACCTACGTGTGATACTCTGTGACTTTTCTACTCTATCATGTTTTGGGGTTTTTTTAAATTGCTGGTCATGACTAATTAAGTTGAGTTTGTGGCCAGAAATGGTCACAATCCATTTGAAAACTCCTGCCTTCTGTGGTGCCTTCTGCAACATTTTTAATACAAAACCTAGAGATACAGAAGTACTGTCCCCAGCTCTCTGAATCCAGGAGGGGCTTTGAAAATCCACTTCTTCAAATACAGAGATAGGAACTCAGAACATTAAGAAGATTACAGTTTTCTAGAATGTTGACAAATGGAGTCATCGCTGCATCTGGTACAGAAAACAGCTTGAGCATATAGTAAGCAGATATATGGCACACCTGGTCCATCATGAATGTGGGCCTGCTGTGACCAGCTCAGGGTGGTTCTGCTGTTTATTATAGAGGATACAGCCTGCAAAGTCTGCCCCTGAAGTCAGTAACTGGGTCCAAACAACTAGTGGTCCTGATAATGACAGCACAGTCCAGCTTATTCATTGTCACTATCACCCTGACAACAGCTGGCTTGTTAGACTCCTGGGGTGAGATCTGGCAGCTTTGCTCTTCAACACAGCCTGCCCAGAGGCCATGCACACTTGCTACAGATACTGGTCTGCCTTGGCTATGGTAGTCAAGCTTGGGAGCTTCCCATGGCCAACTCCCACCCTGGGCAATCTCGCAGTCCTCGGCCCAGTTACTGGTACTTCTTTCCCTCTTGGCTGTTGTTGTTGTTAAGTGCCATCGAGTTGTTTCCACTCATGTTATTGTTGTTAAGTACTGTCAAGTCGATTCCGACCCATAGTGACCCCGTATAGGGTTTCCAAGGAGCAGCTGGTGACCTTGAACTGCTGACCTTGCAGTTCAAAGGACTTTACAGTCTGATGCATTAGCCCACAGTGCCACACCAGGATGCCTTTCCAACTCATAGCAACCCTGTAAAGGGTTTTCAAGAAGCAACTGGCGAGTTTGAACAGCCGACCTTGCGGTCCAGTGCATTATTCTGCAGTGCCACACCAGGACTCTTGGCCATTAGTAAGCCCCAAAGGGTGCAACCTGTAATGATTTCCACACCTAAGGGAATCATGTAGTCCCATTAACATAGCATCTTTGTGTCCCCCACAACCTGCCCCCCCCCAAAAAAAAACTACCCACTAACAAAGGAGATTTTATGGCCTCCTTGTTGGTGTTGTGACGAGTCGTTGAGTCGGTTCTGACTCATAGCGACTCTGTACAGGGTTTCCAAGGAGCCATTCTCTTTGTGGTTCAAACCTGCCTTTTGGAACAGTGTTGATCCTACAGCGCCACACCAGAACTCCTGGTTGGTTGTTAAGTGCAGTTGTGTCTGACTCATGGAATCCTTAGAGATACGTGAATACTGTTAGCATATGAAAAGTTATATAGTAGAAAAACCTGATTAATCTTTTTTTTTTTCATCCTACAATTTTACAGATTTAATTGTCCACAGACTCTTTCTTTTTTCCTAACCCACCCTAAAGTTCCTCTGTGGCCAAGGCCACCCCTGCAATAACTGTGGAGTAAATGAAATGGAAGGAGTCCTGGTAGTGTAGTGGGTTACATGTTGGGTTGTCAACCACAAGGTTAGCAGTTCGAATCTACCATCCACTCCTCGGGAGAAAGATGAGGCTTTCTGCTCCTGTAAATATTGACAACCTCGGAAACCATGAGTTTCCCTATGAGTTGGCACACCACCACCATCAGCAAATGAAATGGATCTTTGTTTTAAAACCTCCAAGCAAACCTCAGATGCCAAGAACCACATTCTTGCACCTTCCTGGACCCCAAATGTCCCCAGGTACCTGGGAAAGGGAGAAAAGGATTGTGAGCTTATTTGATTAGCTGGCCAGGAGAAATGGAATGGTCCTTAGTACTTAACCAGTGGGCAGATTAATTCTCACATTGTAAGCACTGTTGCCTGAACATGGAGGGAGGGGAGTGGGGAGGGAGGGGCTTCCAGTTTCTAGTCTTCCATGTTCATTCTTGCTTCTCTTTGCCAATTGATGCCCATATGCCATGGGCAAAAGTCTCCTCCCCCAAGTGACATTTCCCAAGGTTCTCCTCTTCCTATTGCCAGCTTTAGAGCCAAACTGCCCCATCCATTCTCACGACCCATCCTGTCTTTCCACGCCCCTCACCCAAGCCCAGTTAACCAAACTTCTTCCTGTTGGCCAAGGTGTGTCAGGATCAATTCATATGCAGACCAAACATCATGTCCTGGGCCATCTTGAGCAGGAGACAAGAGCTGAGGATACCTGTGGTCTTTCGGCCCAAGTGGCCCACCCCGTGGGAAGGAAGGCTGCGAGACAATGAGGCGTTAGCCAGCACCTCAGTGGTGTTGAGCGCCTCCTCCACTGAGGTCCTTGGGGCCAGCAGCTTGGAGAGAAGGCTGCTGAACCTGCTGTCAGTGGAGGCCACTGGAGCTGGAGACGGGCCTGGACTAGATGCAGTGAGGTTCAGTTCATTGGGATCCAGACAGAGGCCGTCCGGGGAGCGTCCAAAGCCCACCTGGCTAAGCTCCAGGCCCACTACGGAACCTGGGGAGGCACAGGGCACGTCAGTAACGTGCCCAGTGCTCTCCATCCAGTCCCGCAACCACTCCAGAAGGCAATCGCAGCGCCACGGGTTCCGAAAGAGAAAGAGCCGGCCCAGAAAGAAGCCGGGCTGGAAGGCGGTCCAGGTGAGCGTGGTCAGGCGATTGCCATTGAGGTGCAGAGTCAGAAGACCCGAGAGGTTCTGGAAGGTGCCATCCTCCACGAAGGCGATGCTGTTGCGGTCCAGATAGAGCAGCTCAAGCTCTGCCAGGTCAGCGAACCAGGAGTGCGCCACGTGGGTCAGAGCGTTGCCGCCCAGGTTGAGCGTGCGCAGGTGGCGCAGGCCGCGGAAGGCGCCGGCGGGCAGCATGGCCAGCACGTTGTCATTGAGCAGCAAGTGCTCCAGGGCGCCGCAGTCACGGAAGGCGCCGGCGTGCACGGTGCGTACGCGGTTGGCCTGCAGGCTAAGCAAGCGCAGGCGCCACAGGCCTTGCAGCGAGCTGGTGGCCACGGCTTCGATGCGGCCTCGCTCCAAGTGCGCGTGCGTCAGGTTGGCCAGGCCGCGCAGTGCGCCCGGCACGCGGTGGAACAGGTTGTCGAAGGCAACCAGCTCCCGCAGAGCGGGCAGCTCGGCCAGGAGGCGCTCGGGTACACTGAAGAGGCGGCAGGCAGCCAGGTCAAGGTGGCGCAGGCGGCCGAGCGCGGCGAAGGTGCGTGCGTGCAGGTAGCGGAGGTCGCCGTTGTGCGCCAGGCGCAGCTCAGCCAACCGCGGCAGGCCCTTGAAGGCGCCTGGCGTGATGAACGACAGGTTGTTGTGGCGCAGCGACAGGTGGCGCAGTGATGGCAGTGTGCCGAAGGCCCGCTCGCCAAGGAAGCGCAGGCTGTTACGGTCCAGGTCGATGGAGGCGGCCTCGCATGGGAACTCCAAGGGCACCCGCAGGAGGCCCGCGTGGTCGCAGCGCACAGAGCAGCCACGCTCCAAGCTGCTACAGATGCAGATTGCGGGGCAGGTGCGCGCGCAGGCCCCTGTGGCCCGGGACCCGGGCAGGCCCAACACCATCGCTGGAGGCGGGCAGGGCAGAGGAGAAAAGACAAAAACAGCGCAACCGTCAGCCATAGGTAAAAATCTACCTACCCACTTGGCAGTATGCATGGCTCTCCCTCAAGTGTCCCCTTTGAGCCTTTTCCTTCCTAACTGTTCTCTTACATCCTGCAAGGCCACACATCCGCCAAATGGCCTTTTCGGGCTCCTGGGCCTTACACAGGTTTCCCCCTCTTTGCTTTGCAGGTATTTTAATCAACAAAACCCAGAGCGATTCCAAGCATCCTACCTCATTCTAAACTCCCTCCTGCCTGTATCATTATACTGGTGTTGTTAGTTGCTGTTCAGTGGATTTCCACTCCCTCTTATGGAACCAAAGTGAACAGAATTGTGCTTCATAGAAGCAGATCACCAGTCTTTATTACCTACGTGCTTCTGGGTGGGTTTGAACTGCCAATTTTGTGGTTAGTAAACCAGTGCTTGACCATTTGTACCACAGAGACTCCCGGAATGAGGCACAGGGCTTGTTTGCCTTTGTATGGGGATCTTGACGGCATCGTAGTGGCCTACAATCGAATCCTACGCTGTCCAATACAGTAGCCACATGTGGCTATTATCTGTTTGAAAAGTGACTAGTCCAAAGGGTAGCGTAGTGGTTACGAATCGGGCTGCTAACCTCAAGGTCAGCAGTTCGGAACTACCAGCTGTTCCACCGGAGAAAGAAGAGGCTTTCTGCTCCCGTAATGATTTACAGACTCGGAAACCCTGTGCAGGGTCACTATGAGTCGGAACCGACTCCATGGTACTTAACAACAACAACACCAATGGTGTAAACAGGGAGCCCTGGACAGGACTGCGAAGCACTGGACTGCTAACCACAAGGTTGGCGGCTCAAGCCCCCCCCTCCAGCCACTCCTTGAAACCCTACACAGGGTAACTATGAGGCCAACTGACTTGATGGCACTTCACAACAACAACACGGTGAAAACAAGTAGCCCTGGTGGCTCTGTGGGATATTTGTTTGGCTGCTAACTACAAGGTCTGGGGTTCAAACCCACCAGCTGCTCTTAGAGAAAAAGAAGAGGCTGTGTGCTCAAGTAAAGATTTGCAAGGTCACTATGAGTCAAAATTGACTTGATGAAAGTGAGTTGGGTTTGGTTTTGGGTTATGATGTAAATGGTTAAGGCACTTGGCTGCTAACTGAAAGATTGGAGCTTCAAGCCCACCCAGAAACCCCTCAGAAGAAAGGTCTGGCTATCTTTTTACTGAAAAAGCAGTCATTGAAAACCCTATGAATAAAGCTCAATTTTATTCTTACAGACAGGGGTCACCGCCATGAGTCAGAGTGTACTTGACAGTAACTGGTTTGGGTTAGTAGGTGTAAAAGACACATGGAATTCCAAAGACTTAGTACCAAAAATAAAAAGAAAGAGAGAGCTATCCCATTAATTTTTCATATTGGTTGCATATTGAAATGATTATTTTGGATATACTGTTGTTGTTAAATGCCATCAAGTCGGTTCCGACCCATAGCGACCCTGTAGAGGGTTTCCAAGGAGCGACTGGTGAGCTTGAACCACCAACCTTGCAGTTCAAACCAACTTTACAGTCCAGTGCATTAACCCACAGCGCCACACCAGGACTCCTTGGATATATTGCTAATGTGGCTACTAAAAAATAAAATAAAATGTGACTACTAAAATTTTTAATGTTCACATTATACTTCTGTTGGCTAGAACTGCTCTAGACCCTCCCGCCATAAGAATTAAATTCCTAAAAACTCCCAGTGAGGAATTACAGCCATCATGGAGAAGGGAGAATTAGGGAGCAGGAGTTTGAGAATGAACCTATGTTTTTGTTTCTTTAACAGTCACTAAAATTAAACCATTTGTTGTTGTTGTTAAGTGCCATCAAGTCAGCTCCAACTCATAGTGACCATTTATAGGGTTTCTGAAGAACAGCTTGTGAGTTTGAACCGCCGACCTTGTGGTTCAAACCGACTTTGGGGCCCCAGTGTATTATCCTTCAGGTCCACACCCGGACTCCAGAATTAATGCATAAGAACAGCATATTAAATCAACTTATTGGTGACCTTTTAATACAGCTCAAAAGAATCCTCCTGGACGTTGCTGTCATCCACTAGTCCTTGCTCTCCAGAAACTTTTCTACATCATCATGGAAAAGAAAGGTGCCTGTCATTTTTGTTCTGAGCAGTGGGATGGAGAACCTGATAAAGACTTCAGAAGCCTTCCAATCAGAAGACATGTCACTACAGCCAAGCCAAATGGCAGGGCCTGCTCCAGATGGAAGCCAGAGACCCCAAACTCCAACAGTCTTGAGGACCAATGGGAAAAGCAGCAATGGAGATACATAATTTGTGTTTTCTGGCCAGGAAGAGCTCACAAATGGAATGTGCTTAATCTGGAATTCCTGAAGAGGAACAAAGGGTACCCAGGTATAAACCTGCCCACTGATTCATAATGTCTACCTCTCTTCATCATTATTGTTGTTCATTGCCTTTTGGTTACCTCCAACTCATGGCAACTTTGTGTTCTATAGAACAGAACAAAATGTTGCCCAGTCTTGTACCATCTTCATGTTGTGTCAATCCATCCCATTGACCTTCTGTTTTACCAAGGATCCTTGGCTGGCACAAATGGTTAAGTAACCTCTTGACTACTAGCTGAAAAGTTGGTGATTCAGATTTACCCAGATGTGCCTAGCAAACTGCTTCTGAAAGGTCACAGCCTTGAAAACCGTATGGAGCAGTTCTGCTCTGCACACATGGGGTCGCCATGAGTCAACTCAATGGAACTAACAAGAACTACTTTACCAACCATGATGTCCTTTTCTAGACCTTAGTCTTTTCTAATGACACGTCCAAAGTAAGTGAATGGTAGTGTCGCCATCCTCACATTTAAGGAGCATTCTGGTATGTCCCTCCCATTGTTGTTAAGTGCCACTGAGTTTGAACCAATGACCTTGCAGTTTAAACTGACCTTGTAATCCAGTGCTTATCCTACAGCACCATACCAGAACTCTTCCTCTCCCATTAGTACTCCCAAATTCCTAGTAAACACACCTGGCCTACCGTTCAACCCCTCCCTCCCACTGGGGCCATTTAGCTCTTGTGGAAACCAGAAGGTGTACCACACAAGGGGTGTGTAGAATATGTTTGTTGCTGCCTTGGTAGGTTTGTTCCGTTTCTGGTGTCTTTTTGGTCCTTTTGTTGTGGACACGCCCATGTTTTCTCAGCTGCTGGGAAAGGGCTTTAGCCCTTCTTTGGCAGGAGAACACTGAGGAGTTTAAACAATCCTTTGTTGTCAGCTGTAGCTAGTTCAACAGTCTGATGTTGAGAAGGCTCGACTTAGTATTTTCCTCCCCCTAAAATCTGAGATAGACACCAAGCTTCCAGAAGTGTTCTTGGGCCGGTGCTGAGTTTGGCTGTGAATAGGACTGCTTCTGAGTTGGAGACACACTCTGTTAAGGAAACAGGGCCAAGAATGTAATCTTACCTCCAGGCCTCATCTGGACAGAGACTGAACCTCTTTCTATCTACGCTTCCAATTAGGTTAAGTAGAAGGCATCGGATTGCCTGACAAATAGTTCTTCATTCTACTTTCTTCTCCTTTCTAATTAACCAAAGTGCACTATCAACCAAATGACTCATGTTTATACCTCATAATAGCTAACATTGTTCCAGGCACACTCTGTGGCTCAATAACTGTTTGTAGAATTAAACGGAACTGATGCTTTCCTCTGTGACAAGTCCTGCTGGAGGCAGGCCTGTATTTTAAATACCTTTTGCCAAGGAACTCATTGAATTATGACTGACAGGATACGACCATTTATTTATATAATGCAAGAGATCAAAAACCGTAGCTGCTAATTTTTTTTTAAAAAAACACAAGTAAGTAAGTGGGAAGGAAGCATTTTGTTGTGTATCCTTTTTCACCTTTAAAATTTTGAACCATGGGAATGCATCACCTATTTCAAAAAACTAGATTAAACAAGTCTATTAAAAAATAATAATAATAAAAACACAGGATGTTGTCAATGTTTGAGACTTATTTTCAGCCGTGGAAACTTTAATAACCACTGTGGCACTGTAGGATAAGCACCAGACTTCAAGGTCAGTTTGAGTCACACGGTCAGTGGTTCAAACTCACCAGCCGCTCCTTGGAAACCCTATACAGGGTTGCTATGAGTTGGAACTGACTCGAAGGCACTTTACAACAAAACAACAACAGGAACACTAACTAATTTGCTGGATTAGTTAATGAAATTTAAATTAAGTAAATTATCTGAACAGACAACCAAACGCTGGTATTAGCTTACCCACCATAAAGAGTAGGTGCGGTGCTGTGAGATCAGCACTGGACTGAGAGCCACAAGGTTAGTAGTTCAAACCCAACAACTGCTTCTCAGAAACCCTCGGAGTTGGAACCAGTTTGTTGGCACTTAACAACAGCAACATATACTTAAAACCAAACATGCCCACTGCCATTGATTTCATTCCAAAACATGGTTAAGTGCCGTCGAGTCAGTTCTGAATCATAGCGACCCTGTACAAGGTTTCCGAGCAGCAGCTGGTGGACTTGAACTACCAACCTTGTGGTGAGCAGTCTAGTGCTTAGCTTATAGTGCCATACCAGGTGACCCCATAGGGCAGAGTAAACCTGCTCATTAGGGTTTTGAGACTGTAAATCTTTACAGCAGCAGACAGCCTCATGGGATTAGCAGCCCAATGTTTAACCCACTGCACCACAAGATCTCCTAGGTATATACTTGTTGTGAAGTACCATCTCGTCAGTTCTAACTCATAGTGACCCTGTATAGGGTTTCTGAGGAGCGGCTAGTGGGTTGGAACTGCCGAGCTTTAACAGTCCACTGCTTATCCTACAGTGCCACACCAGGACTCCAGGTATATACTTAGTGCACCCAGAAAAGCAGGAACATCTAAAAAAAAAAAAAAAAGAGAGAGAGAGAGAGAAAACAATGGTTTTAAATAATGTATT